CCTCAGGGATTCGCGCAGCCTGTGTCCCCTCCGGCAGCCGCTGTCCCGGCGGGTGTCCCGCCCGCATCGGGGCCCGGCGCTGCCCGCGGTCGCGGCTCTCACCGGCGAGCTCCAGCTTCACCTCGCCGTGCCGTGCCGTGCCGTGCCGTGACTCGGCCCGGGGTGGGGAGCACGGCCCCCGCCGAGGTTTTGCCACAGAGTTTTGCACAAGATTTATACGGTTATTTATTTAGTAATAAAGACTGGCGCGCCACCGCCGTGCCTTCCCGGCGCTGGGTGACTCCGGGTGGGACAGCCGCGCTGCCGGCAGGGCTCGCAGGGAGGAGCTGCCTGCTCCCCGGCCGTGCCGAGCCGAGCCAAACCAGGCCAAGCCATGCCGTGCCTTTGGGCATGGTCACCCATCGAGATGAGCTCAGGTGTGGTGCACGGATGCAGTGCAGGGCCGTGGTGCAGAGGTGTGGTACAGGGATGTGATGATGCACGGGTGTGACACATGGATACGATGCACAGGTGTGACACATGGATATGATGTACAGGTGTGATGCATGGATGCAATGCACTGGTGTGACACATGGATACAATGCACAGGTGCCGTGCACGGTTACGATGCACAGGTGTGGTGCAGGGATACGATGCACAGGTGTGACACATGGATGCGATGCACAGGTGCGGTGCAGGGGTGCCGTGCACGGTCGCACCACTGGAGGGCAGCCCACACCGCGCGATGCGGGCCCGGCCCCGGCGGGCGCGGGGAGCCCGGGCCGGGCTGACCCCGCACCCCGAGCTCAGGGATGGGGCCGCTACCGGGCAGCGGCAAACCAGCTCTCCGCATCCCCATAACATCGGTAACCCATCCTCTCCCGTCCCTAGCCCATCCCCATGGATCCCTATCCCATTCCCATCCTCAGCCCATCCCATCCATCACCCCTCTGTAACTCCTTTTCTCCGCATCCTCCCAGCCACCTGCAGTGGTGAGCGTTCCTTTAATAGCTGGACTTTGTGCGGGTGTGAATGCGCTTTGGGCGGGCACCAGTGGCACGGTGACATTGGCAGAGACCCTGGCCAGGGCCTGGGGACAGCCCAGCTCTCTCAGCAAACGCTTTAGCAGCAGAGGGGACACTTCATCTTCCAACTTGATGAGTCGCCGTCAGCGTTAACGGCACCGTCTCCGTTTAAATGTGATTTACATACATCTCTCATATTGTGGTTTAAGTATTTCCCCAGGGTGAGGGATGAATATGTTTCATTATCGCTCCTCGGGAGAGGCGGAGGTGGCGGCTCCTGCTTCATAATCGAATGAGGAGCGGAGCTGCTCTGCTTCTAGGCTGGATCTTGGGTGAAAACAATGAACTTGGCTTTCACCCGAGTGGGTGGTCACAGATCCACAGTGGGCAGTCCTGGCTGGGCCGTGTGTGGTGGCTGAGGAGCTCTGGAACAGCCAGAGATGGGCTCAGCACTGTTGCTGCCCCCGGCTGCAGCACCAGAGATGGGATTTTCCAGTAAAATGAGACATAAACCAATTTTCTCCCCTCCAATGCCGCTCTCGATGCCCAAAGCCAAGAGGCCACATATCAGTGAGCTTTAAAAAGACATGGGGTGTGGAAGGACAGCTGTCACCAAGCCCCTGCGCCATCACTCTGCACCCCGCGGTGGCTCTGTGAGGACGGGGACGCCACAGCCTCCACAGTGACATCCCAGCACAGCAGGCCTCTGCCACCTTCAGGGATTGACTTTGGCCCTTTTACCCCCTGCCCCACCAAGCCTGGAGCTGTTTCACCCTCAGCTGTGGTGATGGAGGCAGCTGGGGGCCGGTGAACGGGGGGTGCTCAGCCCCGGCCCCCTCCCGCCCCTCCCCGCGCCGCCCTGCCAGAGATGACAAACCCAACAAAGGGAAGAGAAAAGCACTTGTCATCCAGAATGCGGAGCGTGGAAGCAAATTTATTTTTAGATAAATCTAAAGCTTAATTTGTGAAGCTAATATCAATCAAAATGAGAGATGGGTTTTTTTAAGTCCTTTTGCAGCCGTGCAATTTATACTGCCTGTCTCTCCTCCTCGCTCCCAAACAGCAAAGGCTAAGTTTAATATCAGCCTCGTGCACTAAGAAATTTGTATTATTATTGGTATTATTACTGGTATAATTTGAATAGGAAGGTATTTGTAGGCCAGAAGCAGCATTGTTTCCTTGTGTGTTCCCACAGTGCTCGTGCACGCTGTGCCCCACAGAACGGGAGGGCAGTGGGTTGTGGTGTCTTCATCCTCGGTGCTGGATTGTACCTCAGGTGTCCCTGCCCCATCTCCCACCAGTGTCTGTGCACATTTTGTGTCCCCATGTGCTCACCTGCACCTGCCAGAGCTGGCACTGCAGCAGGTGCCCACCAAGGAGGAACCCATTTGTTTTGCATTCCTCGCTTGAAGCCTCCCCGCGCCCAGCGAAATCCTCCTCCCAAGGAGCGATCTGAGGGGAGAATTAACCTGCTAAATAATAAAAACCCCCGCACACCTCCTAATGAAATGTAATGACTCGGAGACCTGCAAGATGGATCGCGCCGTCGCTCCCAGCCGCTCGCCCTGATTTATGGCGAGCTGGGAAATCTGATGGAGGCAGCGCTAATGAATCCTCCTCCCACGGGCACCGCTGACGGAGCAAAGTTTCTCCTGGAGCCCCCAGCACGGCTCCGTGCACCCCAGCCTCTGCAGAGTCCCCCTTTGGTGCAGGGGGTCCCCAAGGAGGGGCTGCCCTGCCCCCAGCAGCCCCGCCAAGCTCCAGCCTCGCATTCCTTTGATGTGGCGTCTTTTTAATGACAAAGATCTGAGCGAAGATCTTCCTCCAGACGGAATAATTTTAACGTGCAGGCAGGCAGTGGCACCCCCCCCCCCAGCAGTAATGTTAACCTCTGTGAGAATTTCCTTTTGTCCCAATTTCTCTTTGTTCCCCGGATCGGCTGTCACGCTGCTCGCTGCTGCTGGTGACAGAGAGGTCCCCTCCCGGCGTGCCATAAATACCGGCGGAGCCATGCACGCCGTTGTGGTGACAGAGCAGAGGAGGCAAATGGAGCTGCCAGCCCTGGCCTCAGCCATGGGGCAGCTCCAGGCACGTGGCTGTGTCCTTGTCCTCATCCCATCCTCATCCCATCCCATCCCATCGCCATCTTCATCCCCTTCCCCATTCTTATCCACATCCCTGTCTCCATCTCATTCCCATCTTCATCCTTGTCCTACCCACATCCCTATCCCAACTCATCCCATTCCATCCCCACCCTCATTCCCATCCTCATTCTGTTCCCATTCCCATTCCCATTGGTTCCCATTGATTCCCCTTGGTTCCCGTCCCGTCCCGTCCCGTCCCATCCCCATACCCTCCTGGTCATGCACAGAAGGCAGCTGAGCCTCTGTCACCCTGTCCCCTCTCTGGCTGGGATAAGGCCATGCCGTGTGTCCCACCGTGGGACACAGAGGCCGGGGAGATGCATCCACAGCCAGGATCAATTTGGGATTCAGTCCCATTATCCTGTTGTGGATATCCTGCTGGGCAGAGCAGCGGGGTTGGATTTAGGGCCACCAGAGCCCCCACCCCACCTGGGCACCAGGAATGGCCCTGCCATGGAAACCCAGTGGGAAACAGGAGTGACGGATGGCACTGGAGATGCCACGCCCTGCACTGGTGACAGGATGGGGACGCGGTGCCTGACCCTGGCACCCATTGCCCCATGAGGGATGGGCATCCCAAGGGTGCACGTGAGGCCACAGCCCTAATCCAGGGATTTGTCCCATGTGCCACCCCTTGGGTGTGAGGCAGAGACTGGTGCTGGGATTAATGGCTCAGCATCATTAACAGGTTATTTATAGGTGCTCCACCGTGCCCTAAAAATCTCTGGGAGCAGGGGGGGTGTCCTGGCTCTGGGGGAGGCCACAGCAAAGCAAAGAGACTCCAGAGCACACATCCAGCAAGATCCTGGTTTTACTTTGGGAAAAACACCATCCGGACACACGGCTTGCGGGTTTTGTGTTGGTTTTTTTTTTTCTTTTTTTTTTTTTTCTTTTTTTATCATTTTGTTTTCTCATTTTTAAAACAATATAGTGCAGCCAGCACTTCTCACAGTAGAATATAATGGTCAATTTTAGTATAAAAAAAAAACATTCTCAGAGATTTGTAAATGCACTTAGTGCTTGAACAGGCTTTCAGGGATACAGTACCTCTTTTCCGAGCACAATCACCTTGGGTTTCATCGGGATATTATTCTTCTTTTACCTTTAAACATCAAAACACTTTGTATTTCGTGGTGAGGAGCCTTTTGTAAATGAACAAATCTATTAAACACAGAATTACACAGAGTGAATAACGGACCATAATAATTTTGGAATTGTTTGGGTTTTTGTTTGTTTTTTTTTTTAAAAGAGAAAAAAAAGGAGGTATGTGAGCGCCCCAGTACCGTGACCCAGAACCAAGGTAGAACTGACAGTAAGGGAGGAAATAAAACAGCCTGGAAGTGTGAGAGCCAGGGGTTCCCAGGAGAGAGGGGCTGAGGGGGTCCCGAACCTCCTGGTTGAGTGGGAATAGGAGCCATGGCCACTGTGGGGCCAGGTGAGAGGAGGAGGATGAGGAGGAAGAGGGGTGGGAGGAGACTCTGTAGCAGCCAACACATAGATGTACAGCCTAGTCAACTAAAAAAAAAAACAAAACAAAAAAAAAAAAAAAAAAAAAAAAAAATTAAAAAAACCAAAAAAACTGTTCAAGTTTTCAAGTGTTTTTCTTAAATAGCCTCCAGACTGTCCCCAGTTATTAGCTTTAATCAAAGCAGTGCAAGTTACGGACTTCAGCTACAGGTCAGGCGCCAGCTCCCTGCGGCCACGCACCGGCCGCACGCCGGGCTGGGACCGGCCACCACTAGGCTGGCACTGGCCACCACGGAGCCTCCCAGCCACTGCCGTGCCAGGACTGGCCACCACGGAGCCTCCTGGACAGCTGCCAGCTCAGCCCTGGCCACCACGGAGCCTCCCAGACCCACCCTGGAGCCTCCCAGCCGGCCACGACACCGGGCTCTGCCCCGCTCTGGGCACCGCCAGCGCGGCAGAGCCTCCCCTCCCTGGATAGCAGCAACTCGTAGCAATTCCCTGTTCACATTCGTGGAGATAAAATGATTTCTGAGCTATATAGACAAGCGGTCCTTCGGCCTCGGCTTCCAGCGGGTCGCGGGTGTGTCCAGTCTGGGGACCCCGGTGCAATGCCAGCGTCCCGGGAGCCCTTCCGGCCGCCGATCCCGCGTCCCCCTCCCTGTCCCCCTGCCCTCGCTGCCGCGGTCCGGTGCCCGCAGCTCGCGCCAAAGTCCTCGCCCTGGGTTTGGGAAGAGCAGCATCGGTCCCTTATCTGTAGACGGGCAGGCGGATGTGGGCGTGCTGGTGGTCCAAGAGCCTTGGCACAGACACGGTCTCGTAGCCCTTGCCCAGCATCTGCTCCTTGATGCAGGGCGGGTGGATGTCGTTGATGAGATACTCCAGGGACTGGAGGCTGCTGCTGAGGATGGAGGTATTGCAGAGGGTCTTGCTGGGCAGCCCGTCGGCCGGGGGCACCCCCAGCTCGCGGGGCCCGGCCCCCAGCTCCGGGGGGTTGTAACAGTCGCTGTTGGGGGTCACCAGGATGCTGTTCCAGGGGGGAGCGAAGTACTGCCCCACCGCGAAGTTGCCGTGCATGCAGTTCAAGGGGGACGAGCTCACCTTGTCGGCGGCGCCGCCCAGGCCGTAGGGCCGCGAGGCGCCCGCGCACGTCTCGGGGGATTTGCTGAGAGCCCCCCCGCCGCCGCTGCCCCCGCTGTACATTCGCAGGTGCTGCTGCTGCTGCTTCTGCTGCCACACCAGGTAGTCCATGCCCTCGGGGTAAACGCCCGCCTTGGGTCCCAGGGCGGCGGCCGGGTTGGAGCCCAGCGCCAGCTCGGCGCCCTTGCGGCACTCGGGCAGGACGGTGCCGCCGTAGCCGGGGCCGAAGGCGCCGTGCTTGGCCGGGCTGGGGTGGGCTGCCACGACTGCCGGGCAGCCGGGCTGGGCACCCTGCGCCTGGCACTGCTGATTGATCTGGTAGATGATGCTCTGGATGGAGGGCAGGTTGGAGGGAGGCAGGGCCAGGCTCCTGCCCGCCAGCGGCAGCACCGAGGCCGCCACCGTCACGTTGGGGGGCACGGGACCCTCCAGCTGCTTCTGGCCGCCGTGGTAGCTCAGCTGCCCGGCGCAGGAGGGACCTTGAGCTAAAGTGCTTGAGGCGGGGTAGGGAGCGACGCCCACCTGGGCGGGCGAGAGCTTAGTCCGCTTCCCCTCCGAGTTCTTCACCACGCTTTTGCCGGAGGCTTTGACGATGGCCAGCAGCCCCTGGTAGCCGCCGGCGTGCAGGGGGTAGGGGCTGTACCTCTGCCCCGTGGTGTCGTAGCCGTTCACCGTCCGGTTAAGGTGCTTGTGCTGGGGGACCCTGATGTTGGTGGGGAAGATCTTGATGGTCAGCGGGCTGTTGGCCACCTTCTGTGCGTAGGCGTCCAGCTCGGCGGGGCTGGGGTAGCGCGGGGAATGCATGGGGGCCGCCTCGCCTGCGGGAGCAAAGCTTGGGGTGAATCCAGTGCCACCAGGATGAGGGGACCCAGCGGCCCAGCACCGTCCTCCCCCGGGCGGATCCCACCCGCTCCCGGCAGAAAGCAGGTCACGGCACCGAGCTGTCCCCTCCCGCTGACGGGAGCCACTTGTAAGTGGCCTAAAATAAACTCGGTGTGGAGAATGGAAATGTCACTTTACCCAATGGGGGAATCTTTCTCTGAGATTGGATTTAAACTACATTATACAAGCAATTTCATGGGTGCTTTGCGCTGCTACGAGAACCTCACCAAAAATGGAAAAGCATTGCATTTACCAGCCATAAATCAGCAGTTCCTATAATGAGCACAAAAATGTCACTTTTATGCAATTTTACAGATGAACAAAACTGGTGAAATTAACTGTGGTAACCTACTGGAGTCAGCAAAAGCCACTGCAGAAAAAAAATTTATATATGTATATAGTTTTGTTCCTTTCAAACTCTTTCCTGAGCAAGTTTCTGCCATTCTGGTGTGAAAACTCATTTGTCGTTCCCATTATACTTTCATTTGGAGTTTATCTTGAGTATCCAATGAGCCACCAACTGTGAAAATGATTAAATCTACAAAATCTATCTAATAGATGGAATAAATTAGGTGTTTAAAATCTCCACACACACTCACACACACGCGCGCACGCAGGCACGTGCACGTACACGTTGGAACATGGGAATGATGGTTGGTTCCCAGCTGGTTCCCAAAATTCCCAGCCCTGCCAAGGAATGTCTACAGCACACTGGGAACGCCAGACCTGGTGCCTGCCCAGGGTAAGGTTTTGCAAGGGAGAGGTGGTAAAATAGGGGGTTTTGGGGAGACCCAGCTTTCCCAGGCAGTTCATCCCCCCAGTAATACCTGGAGCACTCTGCTCCTGATGCCACAAGCATCAGCAACCCCTCATGCCACCACATCCTGGGTGTGAAAGTCACCATGGAAGAGCTGCACCTCTGGGTACATTCCACATTCCCTATGAGGGGATTTCCTGTCCCAATCCTGCTCTGAGTGACATTCCCATGGCTGTGACATGCTCAGATGAACCAGGCATTGGTTAAAAGCAGGATTCAGCAGGAGGGATGCACTGGAATCTGTGACTGTCCACATCACCCCTGCTCCCAGCAGCAGAGGGGGGACACAGCAGCGAGGCTGTGGCTGCTCTCCATGCTCTCCATGCTCTCCATGCTCTCTCTCCATCCATGGCCACTCTCCGTGCTCCCCATGCTCTCCATCAGAGAATTGAGGGAATTGCCCAGGCAGGACACAGCGCCTGCGCCAGCCATTGCCCCCATTAAGCTGATGTTACGGGCTTTTTACAGGTGTCTTAAATAGACATTGTTATTAACGAGTGTATTAAGCCAATTAAAACCAGTGCCTTTGAGGAGGATTTAGAGGAGCTGTTGGAACACAGGAGGAACAGCACCAGCAGCTCCCTCTGGCAGGACACGTGAGGACGTGTGGCACCAGGACATCCCAGGCACGGAGCCTCCAGCCTCTGGGAAGCTCCTGCAGAGCCAGCAGGGCAGTGAGGGCACACTGAGGGGGCATGGTGGGCTCTGCTGGGCATGGGCACCCTCCAAGCCAGTGGGTGCAGGGGGCTGAGAACGGGACCCCTCTGTCCAGAGAACATGGAATGGCACAGCATGGAATGGCACAGCACGGAATGGCACGGCACAGCACATCTGCATTCCCCTTCATGCCAGCACCACTGTCCTTGGAGGTGGCAGCATCGTGAATACTCAATTAACATGACACTAATTAGCTGGTGACACTTGCAGAATCCCTAATGAGCCCGTACCATGGAAATGCTCCTTTACGAGGAAAAAAAATACTAAAAAACCAAGGGGCTTTTGCAGAAGGGAGGGAAGGAGGGGGTGTCACCTGCGGGCACCACGACTCCCTGACGGGGATAACCAAAATCCTGTCCCCAAGCACTGAGGCTACAGGTGACACTCCCTGTGCCATGGGACAAGCCCGGTGATCCCAGCCTGGCCTTGGCCATCACCACCCGCCAGCCCCGGTGTGCCCGCAGCAGCCTTTGTCGCCTCTTTGCTCCAGCTGCGTTGGATGTGACAAGCCACCAATTCGGTGTGTTGTCACATCTCAGGGTGACGCACCGCACCCCCGCCGGGAAAATTACAGAGAGCCGCTCTCCCGGCGGCTGCCGGCACGCCGGCGTGCCGCTCTCCGCAGTAATTACTGCTTTCCAGCGGGCTCTAATTGCTGCAAGATGCAAACTGCCCGAGCCACCGCGGCACCGGCGGGCGCAGCCAGCCCCGACACTGCCGCTGGCTGTTTGTCCTCCGTGTCCATCCCCTCCTGAACTTGAGCATTGCAGCCAGCCCCGACACTGCCGCTGGCTGTTTGTCCTCCGTGTCCATGTCCTCCTGAACCTGGAGCATCAGAGCCAGCCCTGACACTGCCGCTGGCTGTTTGTCCTCCGTGTCCATCCCCTCCTCAACCTGGAGCATCAGAGCCAGCCTCGACACTGCCGCTGGCTGTTTGTCCTCCGTGTCCATGTCCTCCTGAACTTGGAGCATCAGAGCCAGCCCCGACACTGCCACTGGCTGTTTGTCCTCCGTGTCCATCCCCTCCTGAACCTGGAGCATTGGAGCCAGCCCCAACACTGCCGTTTGCTGTTTGTCCTCCGTGTCCACCCCCTCCTGAACCTGGAGCATTGCAGCCAGCCCTGACACTGCTGCTGGCTGTTTGTCCTCCATGTCCATCCCCTTCTCAACCTGGAGCATCAGAGCCAGCCCTGACACTGCCACTGGCTGTTTGTCCTCTGCGTCCAACCCCTCCTGAACCTGGAGCATCAGATCCAGCCCCAACACTGCCGTTTGCTGTTTGTCCTCCGTGTCCATCCCCTCCTGAACATGGAGCATTGCAGCCAGCCCCGACACTGCCACTGGCTGTTTGTCCTCCATGTCCATCCCCTTCTCAACCTGGAGCATCAGAGCCAGCCCCGACACTGCCACTCACTCTTTGTCCTCGTGTCCATCCCCTACTGAACTTGGAGCATCAGAGCCAGCCCTGACACTGCCACTGGCTGTTTGTCCTCGTGTCCATCCCCTCCTGAACTCCCCTGCGCACAGCACAGCCATCACCACCTCTTGCCATCCCTACACCCAGCTCAGGCACTGCCAGCAACCAGCCCCTCCTCCCAGATGTTTCCCTGCCTCCCAGCTCCCTCCCTCACTGGCATTCCCATGGGATGCGTCCGGCACCCCCCAGCTCCCCCTCCCTCCCTGACCTGCTCTATTTTTCCAGCCTGCACTCAATAACAGCTAAATAATTGAATCTGCTCAGCAGCCGAAGATTTGGTTTGAATTTTATTGGAATTTTAAATTGTTTTGTTTCTTCAGTATTTTATTACTGTAAATGGAAAATGCATCGCCCGCAGTAATAATCCGATGGCTTTTTATATTACTCTGAGCTTCTGCTTGGAGCATTATTGGAAAGCCAGGCAGCGAGGAGACCCCAGCTAATGGCAGCACGGGCTTATGAGATTACGCCTCCAGCTAAACAACTTTTTACTTTACTTTATTTTTAGCAAATTGGCCACCAAACCCAGTCCCAGACACAGATGTAAATCCCAGACCCCTCTGGGGCCTCAGTCTGGGATAAATCTCTGGTTTATGGAGCAGGGAGCTCCAGCCCTGCTGTGCCCAGAGCAGCAGGATGAGGCAAAATGTCCGACAGGGACCTGGGAGGGCTGCAGGAAGGGTGGGAGAGGTGGGGGAAATCCCTCCCAAAACCTCCTCAAATGTGCCCACCTGCTGCTGGCATCACTCACATCCCCCACACATCCAGCATTCCCTGCATCTCCCAAATCCCCCGCCTGCACAGTATTCCTTGCATCCCCTGCATTCCTCTGACCTCTGGTGTCCCCAGGGACACCCACACCACCCCTGGCTGCAGCCACAGCCCACAAGGTCAAGGGAAAAGAAGGAAGATGGGAAGAAAGAAGAGAAGGGAAGCTAAGCATGGTCTGCCTGGCTAAAGCAGTTGTGGGATCAAAATGTCACCAGGAAAGATGCCCAGGAGCAGGAAGGAGAGGAATGATGCTCAGGAGCAGGAAGGATGCTCAGTCCTGGGAAGGATGTTCAGGATCAGGAAGAACGTTCAGAACTAGGAAGGACAGAGTGGATCCTCACAACTAGGAGGGATGCTTGGTACTGGGAAGGATGCTCTGGACCAGGAAGGGCAGGATGGACACTCAGCACACAGCAGGAAGCTCCACTCTGCTCCCACAGCCCAGGTGCCTGTGTGACCCCCAGGATGGTGCTGGAACAACATCCCTGGCTGGGCTCCTTCTTCCCTGGAGGAAGATGAGCATGGGCACCAGAAATTTGTGTCTTTAATTTCCAGCCCATGAGACTGCACTGCCTTGGCAGCTGCCAGCTCTGGAAGGGGATGGGGAGCAGGATGTCTGGGTGCACAGAAGGAACAATTTGGGGATCAGCACCAGCAGCACCACAGCCCTGAGCAAGGACTCCTCAGGGAGAAGCTGAGAGGGAATGTGGCAGGACACGGCACCTCACTGGTTAACAGCAGCACCAGAGACACGTGCTGCTCCCTCCCTCCCCCCCCATTCCTTCTGAGATAAGATGGGACAATCCTTATTTTTACACATCGAAGGCGCTACAATATTTTGCAATAAATGAAAGAAGTAATCTCGGCAGGGAATCTTTATAAAGCTGCCGAAGGCGACGTGTGGCTGGCTGGAAGCTTCCCTGAGCAGGGGATGGGCCTCGCCTTCCCCGTGGTCCCAAAGGAAAAAGCTTTTCACCCCTTTTCCAGATGGGAAAAAAGCTGCAATGGAGGGCTCGACCCCAAAAAAGCAGCTCAAGGAAAGCGTCTGCCCCAGCTCTGTCTTCCCGTGGTCCCACTGCCACATTCACCCTGGGAAGGGGCATTTTCCTGGAGCCCTGAGCATCCTACCCAACCTCACCCTCCATCCCTGTCCT